AGTAAAGAGTGACAGAATCCACATAGACTCAAAAGCAGCGGTGGCAAGCACACGATATTCAGGCCTCTGTAGATGATCGTGCAACTGCACACTGTTTTCTAGAACTCCAAGAGAGGAGATTTGAACCGAGCATAATGAGATAAGCTGAAGTAGAGCTGCGATTATCCAAATTGCCAACCCAATCCGCGTCTGAGTAACATGTAAGCAGAGGATTAACATTTTTCTGAATTGAGATGCCATGGAAAATTGTATTCTTCAGATAATGCAACAACCGTTTGGTGGCAGTCCAGTGAATTGTAGAAGGGCAGCGCATGAACTGTGACAATTTTGTTACTACAAAGGTGATGTCGGGTCGAGTGAGTGAAAGATATTGCAATGCTCCAATTACCTTGTGATATTCAGTAGGATTGACAGCAGCTGAGCCATCATTTAATTTCAGAGAGACCGAAGTTGACAGTGGAGTAGTGACATCTTTTGCTCCATCCATGCAGGTTCTGGCAAGAAGATCCCTGATGTATTTATGCTGAGTGAGGAACAACCCATTCTGCGTGGGAATAACTTCAATACCAAGGAAGAAATGCAAGGGTCCCAAGTCCTTAAAAGAGAACTTCTTGCCAAGCTATTGTATAACACTTGCAGCAAAATGAGAGTTGTTGCTGGTGATAATTAAATCGTCAACATGCACCAGAAAGTAAGCAGTAGTGGACGCAACTTTATAGACAAACAATGAAGAGTCAGACTTGGTATTGACAAAACCAAATTCTAGAATAGCTTGTTTAAGAGCAGTATACCAAGCATGTGGTGCTTGTTTAAGGCCATAGAGTGCCTTCTTAAGACAACAAACAAAATCTGGTGAAGATTGGTCCCGAAAACCAAGAGGCTGCGACATGTATACTTCTTCTGTGAGATGGTCATGGAGAAATGCATTGTTTACGTCTAACTGATGGAGAGGCCATCCATGCATCATAATAACTGATAAAATAGTGCGAATAGTCACTGGTTTTACTACAGGACTAAAAGTCTGAGTATAATCCAAACCGGGTCTTTGATTGAAACCTTTGGCCACTAGTCTGGCTTTAAATCTGTCAATTGAGCCGTCAGCAAGCCTTTTGACCCGAAACACCCACTTGCATCCAATAATGTTGCAGCCTTTGAAAGGTGATACCAAATGTCATGTATCATGGTGCATAAGAGCTGTAAGCTTTGAGGACATTGCAGCACGCCACTAAGGATCAGTTAAGGCATGAGTCACCGATGTAGGTTCCACAGATGAAGGTGATGGATGTTTGGTAACCATGAACAAGCTTTTAGGCTTATAGATGTTGTTCATAGATCGAGTAATCATACAATGGGGATGAGGTTCATCAGTAGGAAGCACCACAGAAGCATGACTAACAATTAAATTTTCAGAGGAAGGTTCAGTTTGAGCAAGAGGACATACCTATGAGGGAACTGACATTGGAGGTGAAGCTACCAAAGATGATGAAGGAGCAGCAGTACCCAGTGCAGAAGCAATTGATTCTGGTGGTCGTGGAGGATATAATAATGGCAGACTTATGGCAACCGGGTGAGAAGAACCGAGAGCACTGGTTGCAGGTTGGGATTTTACAGAAGAACAAGTATCAGTTTGAGCCATAGGAAAGACAGTCTCATCAAAGAGCACATGTTTGGAGTGATATACTTTTCTGCTGAGAAGATCTAGACATAAATAAGCATTTTGGGTTAAAGAGTAACCCACAAAAACACATGACACGACTTTGGTTTGAAGTTTATGTGTATTTTAGGGTCTGGTTAGGGGATAACAGAGACATCCAAATTGCTTTAGTTTCATGTAGTTGGGATTTTGATGGAAAAGCAATTCGAAGGGTGTTTTGTTATTTAGAGTGGAGGTTGGCATATGATTGATCAAGTATGTTGCAGCTTGAAATGCATAAGGCTAGTAGGAAAGAGGTATTTGGGCATCGGTGAGAAGAGTGAGACCTGTTTCAACAAGGTGGCGATGCCGTCTTTCAGATATTCCATTTTGTTGTGGAGTGTGAGGAGCAGTGGTATAATGACCAATGCCATGAACAGATAAATAATTTTTAAGAGCAATGTATTCACCTCCATTGTCAGAATATAGACTTTTGATTTTGATGTTGAACCTGTTTTCCACAAGATTTCAAAATTGAGGAAAGATACTGTGAACACATGATTTATGGGACATAGGATAAAGCCATATATATTTAGTATAGTGGTCAACAAAAATAATGTAGTATTTTGAACCATCAATACCAGTGGCATGAACCGGACCCCAAACATCAGTATAAATGTATTCGAGGGGTGCTGTACTAACAAAACCATGAGATTGAAATGTTTATCGGTGGGCTTTATTATGAGAACACGAGACACAAAGAGATGAATTTTCTTTTGTTTTTCTAACAGGTAAGGAAAAAGTGCGGATAAGATGTTGAGCAATTTTAGAAGATGGATGACCAAGTTGTTTGTGCCATCTATCTGTTATTGTGCGTTTATGAACATAAGCAATAACAGGTTTGGAAGCCATAGTCATTGTTTCCGGCAAAGGGTACACACAATCCTCACATGCACCTTTTAGTAGTGTCGCCCCCGTGATCCGATCCTTCACAAGAAAATAAGAGGGATGAAACTCAAGATAGACATTATTTTGTTTAGTAAAGTGATGAACATAAATTAATTTTTTTTAATTTCAGGAACACATAGAGTGTCTTTCAAATGAAAAATACGGGTGGGGGAGATGAACGATAATGACCTAGTATAAGATACTTGCAAACCTGATCCATCACCAAGCACTACTTCATCTGTACCATCATATTCAGAATGAATAGATAGATTTGAAAGATTGGCGTCATATTTTGAGAGGCTGCCGAATCCACTAGCCATTTCGAATCCTTGCTTTTAGAAGATGCAGCACAATTTGCAGAAAAATCAGATGAATTGCTTTTGGAACATGTTTTAGCTATGTGACCCAACTGATCACATAGCGGACACTTAGGTTTATATTTGCGAAAACTTGAATTGTATGTGCTTCGTTTGGTGCTGTCACGGCTTTTGGTGTAAAAGCGTTGTCCATTATTTCCAGCAGGGAAATGCCTTCGTTGAGTAAAATTTGCTGTTGAAACTAGCAGTTGCATGGTTTGTTGTTCCAACCGACGAAGATTGGTGCAGCTCCTCAAACCGAATGGGATGTTCTCTGGCTCGTATTGGTGCAGCAATTTCCCTAAAATCTGGACCCGGTCCATTTAAAATATAAAGAGTCAGATCATCATCAGTAACAGGATGATCAATCCTGACAAGTTCATCAGCTGTAAGTTTAATCGCCTGGAGGAATTCAGTGACAGTCCTACTGCCACGATGATTGAGGGTGAGATCCTCCTTCAACTGCATCGCACGGGTGCGTGATTTTCCTGCATACAAACATGTTAGTTTGTTCCAAGCTTCATAGGAGGTTTTGCATGAAGCAAGCAGAGGTGTGATGGTGGTGGATGTTGAGGCTAGCAGTGCATGAAGAATCAATTTATCTTGCCGAATCCAGTGAGAGTTTGCAGCTTTAGAGACAATAGAGTTTTCAGTATCAATTACAGGACACTGGAGATCACCAGTAACAAAATCCATGAGATCATAGCTGATAAGTAAGGCTTCAAACTGTGCTCTCCATTGTGGAAAGGTGGAGGTTGTAAGTTTTTCATTAATAGCAGTAGCAGAATTGATAGTGATGATTTGGTTAGGGGCAAAATTTATGGATGCGGAAAAAGACATGGTGAAGGTTTAGGAACGATACTCGTTAAAGATTGAAATGCTCTGATACCATAAAGAGGAAGATAAAAGTTTTGAATTTTGCTTAAATTCATTCAAACTACAGAACGTAATATATATACAAATACAGAGTGCTAAGTATGGAAGGCTTATAAAGGAAAGAATAGAAACTGAATCCCTGATTCTAGCTGATCCCTGATTCTAGCTATGGTAATAGTAAGAATATAAGAAACCGATCCTAGCTTTACATCAACTAATCCTTGATTGTAGCTTGCAGTGATTATTGATTTATACTGTCATGAATCCTACCGTTGCATGAATTGATCATGCAATAATAATTCACGTGAGTTGGCAATGTAATCTTCCTTGATGCTGTCATGAATCCTGCAATAATAGCTTACATGAGTTGGCAGTGTGATTTTCCTTGATATTCTTCAGCTAGCAACACCGAATAATAAATGACATTGAAAAAGCTGTCAGTAGTTGATTTTTGACGCATCATGAAAGCCTTGCTGAATGGAATGAAATTTGCACTATTTTCAAACCAGCTCGCTTAGTAATCATGCGATCTCGCACACACAAACACAAGAAATAAAGGCACAATAAAGGAAGACAAAAGAAATCGTTATATGCAGGATATATTCCCTTTAATCATTGATGGCATGCTGTGAACATTCTACCGCAATCATTATTTCTGCCAGTGTCCCACATTTTACCACAAAGTCTACAATCAACGATACACTCGCCTCAGCTCAGAGGGAAGGATATATTCCATTTTGAGAGAAACATCATATGATCTCATTTATCCCGTGATAAAGCTGAAGATGGGCAAAGCTAGAAGCCTTATCCAGCAAAATCGTGAAGATAACACAAGACAAATAATCATTTTACCCAAATCTTGAAAATTTATTGAATAAACATATCCAAGTGGCATATGATTGATCTCCAGCAATCTCTAGTCTGAAATACTAAAGTACACCATTGACATCTCTTTCGCTGAGTTCCTGAGAGCTTTTAGGGAAGGGGTAAATGATTTGACGCTGATATGTGAACTGGTGGGGTATGTTTTTTCTTATCCGGCAAATTTTTTTCCAGCTTTGGAAAGGTATAATAATACAAATCCCTTTCAACTTGCTAATCCATGCTCCCCTTGACCACAACTCAAAATCTGGAAGAAAAATCTGTCAATCTTTATCCCAGATGCCATAGGTAACGCCCAACTAGTGTGTCAAAGGAGGGTCCAGAGCTATAGATTTCCACAGAGGTGAAACTCACAAAAAATGAGATAATAACTAATTTTAAGTGTTAAGAAAACATCTGATCTTTTCCTCGTACTCTTGCAGTTAAGTTGGGCTAGAATTACAGTTATAAAACAAATGTTCATTCCACAAGTGAGATGCATAGGGCAACAGCCATCCCCAGCACTAGCGAGGTTATGTGAACTGCTGAACTTCTCAGCGTTGACTTGCTATTGTTCATTTCTGCCAGGACCCCAGCAACAGCAATGTACACAAATCCGCCTGCAGTGAATCCCTACAGAAAGCAGAAACCCTTTAAGTACACCTGAAGTTATATTGCAGCAAAAGGAGTATGCATAACCCATCAACGGAACTTAACCTCAATCAAAGATGACTGTCCTGGGTCTTGTCCCCAGAGCAAAGCCTGGAACAAAAGCAGTCATTTTCAGTTAACTTTTTTTCCCGATATTTAAATGTATAAAGGATTAGCATTGACCTTGAAGATAGTACTCACCAACGCAGTTCCTGCTAATGCCACTAATGCTGAGAGGAAGTTGAAAAAAAGGGCTTTAGGTGCACTGAAACCAGATCTTACCAGAATACCAAAATCTCCTATCTGGCAGAAAAGGACACAGACCATTTCCGTAAGAATATTATCCTAAAAATGCAAGTAAAATATAAGGGAGACAATTCACTGGCTCATGTACAACATAAAATTAAGTTTGTGCCACGCTTCTTCAAACTTAAAATAGAAACATAGTTGCATAGGTAGAGCCAATAGCATAGAAGCTATAAGAGACTCACAATTTTCAGTGACTATAACATATATCTACAACGAGCCAAAAATGCATACCTCATCCATAATCAATTTGACACATGAAAACATATTAAAATTGAATTCATCCATTTTGGGGATTCAGCCTTCGCATGCACAAATGACCTACATACCTTCACCTTTACATACCTTGGCTAGTGCGCGAGCATGCGCATGTTAGAGAGAGAGAGAGAGAGAGAGATTGACTAGGAAAGATATTCAACAGATAAATAAGCTTTAACTAGAGAAGATGAAGCATGATAAGAAACAGAGGACTACAGCTTCCCTGATAAACATGACCGAACCAAAATTTAACTCATCAAGAATTGTGAGGTAAAAATAATATTCTGACAATGGATCACTTTCCATAATCATACTTGTGCAATTGAAACTCATTATCCTCTACATTCAAGAAACGATGATTGGGAAAATTAGAACTACGACTTTCCTAAAATGCTTTTGAATAAATATGTTCACTGTGTTATGTGGCTTTCCAGAACCATAGCCTCCACATATTACAATGTGTTTAGCACACAATCTCATGGCTTCCATCCAAGCATCATAATTTAAACAAGAACCCAAAGGCCAACCTGTAATGGGACAAGTTTAGACCATTAGGGCCACAAGGAACCTTGTCTTTTATTATCACAGATCAAGATTTGATATTAAAATTACAAAGATAAAAAAAAAAAAAGGATCCCACAGGATGGAACAAGCAGAAGTCATTAGAAGCTATGTGAAGAGGTTGGTGATAATTCCAAATATCTGATTCGGGTAAGGATTAGCATGAATCCTACCTGCCAGTTTCCCCCATCATTTTCTTTTAGGATCAGTGCAATTTGAGGGGGGAAATCACATTTGTGCACTTCCTTTGGCAAAAATTAAAAACAAAAGGAAAAGGAAAGAAAGAGCAGCAAAACTCAACATAGAGGATGGATTGACTTTAGACATGGAGTAGAAACACAGAGCAAAATAACATCTTCCTGGTTCTTTAAAGAAAGAAAGAAAGACAACTAGTACAAGCCTGAAAAACAGAAACTTATGATTTCAAATTATAAGAAAAGATTAGTTGGAAAGCTAAATACATTAGTGAGAATAAAAGAGAACTCATACCTCTTGAGGAAGCTCATGTGCAAGCAAAAAAAGAGTTCTAGACCATCCACCAACAGATCCATAAAGCAAAAATGCACTTCCAAGAGCCATTCCATCTGTAAAATTGTGCTGCAAAATTGATGCATATTATTTCTAAGCACATAAAAGACCTCCCTTAAGAAAAGCCATGCGAGCAAAAAATAATTTAAACAAATAAGCAGTTTCCCCTCAAGGCCAAGCCTCAAACAAAAACAAAAAAGGAAAGCATACTTACAACACCATCAGAGATGAGATTAAGATAACCAAACACCCGATTTGAAGGTGACTGAGTATGTTCTTTTTCATTCAATGATCTAATATTATTCGCAGAGCCATCTGCAGCATCAACATCTGATTTATCATCCTTGCCCTCCCGCACGGTCTTTCTCTGCAGAATACAAGAACATCATCAAATTTGATGTTCATTTCAACAATCAAACAGAAAATTCATGCACAACACATGACTAGTGACCAATTTTCTAAGATTGCATCATAAAATAGCATCAAGGAAAAAAAAAAAACTGGCATCAATTGTTACTAGAATTCTAAGCACCACATGACCACAAAAACAATCCTGTCTCATTTGTCCATCCTGTAAGCATTTGTACTTTCGCCAATCTCTTTTCCCTGGAAGAATTTTCTGAACCTCTACCAACTCAACTATTGGGTCCAAATTAGGACCACACAGTGGCTATTAACTCTGTCAGAAATCAGGGGAGATCAATGATTAACTGCAAATGCAGAAATAAAAACAGTACGCAATTTCCCAAGATTACCTTCCGAAGTAGAGATTCACTTTGAGTAAAATTAGTATCATTTGAAGAATCATCCAAAACTTCATCAGGCCCTTTCCCATCTCCTTCCTTGGAAGATTTTGACTGTGTCTTATCATGAGCATCACTGTCATCTTTCAGTTTCTTGCTGCTGTTGTGATTGTGATGGTGATGGTGATGGCCATGATTCCAAGCACTAGCTCCAGCAGAATTGTCTTCAACATACCTCACCACCTTCTCTACAAGCAGAAAGAGTACAATACCAGCTGCGATAACCAATACACCACAATAAGAATTCAAGGTACTGTAACCCAATCATAAACATGATAATAAGAATAAAAAAATAAAAAATAAAACCAACAACCATTGAGGTGATCAATTAGTTTGCAAATTTTCATCATGCAAACAACACAGGACTTCAACAAGACATTAGATAGCATAGGCTATCTCACAAAGTTTTCCGTTTTCTGACCAGAGATTATAATAAAAGAACTGGTTTTTATCAATACAAGATAACACATCCCAAATTTTAATAAACATTTTAAAGAGAAAGAAGCTGACTTGAGGAGGATTCTTATGAGAGAATCAGAATCTCATCTACCCTGTAACAGTAATCACCTTGTTTATTCTACTCCACATGCATGTTTAAAGAGTGGTTGATCTCTCTCAGGAGTAATAGCATTTTTAGCACGTATAAAATCAGACGCAAAACAATATTCAAACACAAGTTCAGATCCTTTTGCAGTTAACTCACAAGAACAGAAATAAATATGGTCCCCAAGAGGAGTGATGAGCATAGCTTGGGTATCCTCTGTACATCTAGATGATGGCTCTATCACCTCCTGTTTACTGAACCAGAGCTTATTTCTCCAACGACTTTAAAAGGGGGGTTCTCTTGCATGCCCTTTACATGCTGAAGTAATGAATAAAATGCACACACTACAGTGCTATAGCGCTATCATACAAGAAAACATATACTTTTATCATTATTATGTACCATTTCCCAACACTCCTTGATGGAAGAAACAAAGACCCGCATGCAATTTCACGCATGTGAAGGTGCTTGTGTCTGTTTGTCTATGCTTTCAAACAGAAAGAATAAAGATACCAGTGCAAAGGCATTGTGTTATGCATTTTATTACTTACCCAAAACAGATATTCCAACAGAAAGATCTTTCAAAGAATGTGAGTGTGAGTGGCCATGCTCATCTCCAGCATGAGCATGATGAAAATTGTCTGCATGGTGATCATGAGAGTGGGTGTGTTCGCCACCTGCAAGACATGGTTTATTAATTCATCACAGAACTAACAAAATAACTCCTAGAATCTGAAAAATGCTGCAATGAAATGCCAATTGACTTGTGTAACGCTAAAAAACTTCGAATGTGATTTGGAAGCTGTACCGCCAATACCCGCTCTTGTCCTATACTTTTAAGTGCCTGTCCGCAATCCAATATTTCTGAGAAACAGTACTTAATGCATTCACTTGCACTAAAATCAGTCGCACTAAAATCAGTGCACGGAGCAGAAGGAGTACCCATCTACTGTTGTGCATGGAGCAGAAGGAGTACCCATCTACTGTTGCCAATTCAACAAGAAAAAGGAAATATCGTTGCCAATTAAGAAAAGATAAAAGATTGAATAAAAATATGGAGCAGAGGGAGTACCTCTCTACTTTTGCCAATTCAACAAGAAAAAAGAAAGATCCGGCTCTATAATAACAACAATCAGAAATGCGGTGCAGGAGCTTTAAATTATTTATTTTATTTCTGCTCTGGGATTTTTGTTTTAACAAGAATTCACGTGACTAGCATGGGAAAACATTTGGATAGCTGGGATTAGAAGGTTAGTTTAGGAGTCCAATCGGGGCTTGATATTAGAGGTTTTATTATAAACTCGGTATAAATAATCTGTAAATCAGATTTGCAGCAATTGTATCATTAATTTTCATCAATAAACTTCAGAAACTAGAGGCTTTCTTAAAACCTAAGCTATAACACTTGGTCCCAACTTCTGTCCTACTCGTTTCTAGCCTTAATTCTGCTGCTATATAGCTGTTTTTCTTCCCACCCTACATCAAATGGTCAAATGTTAGACTTATGACTCCTGGCTAAAAAAATAAAATCTCCAGTGTCAAAATGAACTGGAGACGACCTTCCAGTGTAATTTTTTATCATGTAGTTACCTCACATAAGATTAAAAATTGAGTAAATTGTGTGTAAATTAAATGACAGTTATAGGTTGAGAGAATGAATTCATGTGTGCAGCTCCATAATCCACAGACCTAAATCAAGACACGATATGTTCACTCACTGATAAAATGGAAACATAAGGTTCAGTAGAAAATAATCTGGGTACTGTAGTTATAAGCAAGACAGAGGACTGCTAGGCCAGCTCCACTGAGTTACTTCCAAATTGTTTTTTTCATCTCTAGATACTTTAAAGGTAACAAAACTAAAATATATATTGAATACTCAAGTAAACAGAATTCTGAAGGTCACATCACTTCAACGTGACTTCTCTTGATCAAATCTTTGAAGTAGGCTCCTGAAAACAAATAAAGCTAGCTGCATAGCGATGTAATCTTCCTTGCCTGATTTTATGGACTAAGGTGATTTCAAGATATACTATTATAGGTAGCAAACTAAGCACCGTAAAGTAAGACTTGTACTCTCAGTAGCCACTGGATTCCAAAGAGGGTCAAGTAAGTGGCCACCAAATCATTTCTGCAAAGATACTCTAGATCAGGATGGATCAGGCAATACAACCACACCATAAGAAAATGTGGGAAATATAAAGCCAAGCTTTGATTTTTAGGCAGCAGAAATGACATGGAATTCCCATGATGATACGAAAAAAGACGTGGTCTGGGATCTTTACAGTGTTCCAAGTCATCAGTTATAAGTTCATGACTTCCAAGATGCAAGACAAGGTAAAGAAAGGACAGCAGACAATCATGATCATACCAAATGCATGTGGTAATTGATGAAGAAATGCATCCCCTAACATAGCTCCTGCCTGCAAAAATAGTAAAGTTGATCAAAATGAGTCGAACCATATAAGATAGCACTCGAAGAAAGAAATGCATCCATTAACATAAAAATGCATAAACAATTCAATTTTAAAAGTTGTAACAAATGACCAAGAGATATTTAAGGAAGGATATACAAATGAGCAGATCTTCAAAGGATACCACATGTAAATTTACTTTAGTGATGTTTTACTTTTGAAAGCTGCACTAAAAGCAATTCATAAAATGACAGTCAGCAAAAAGTTTCTCATGTCACACAAAAGCAGCAGTAAAACTAATTTTTATGTAACAAAAAACTTGAAATGGCATCTTCTCTGCTTATTCCCGTAACATTACTATCATTTACCAACCAAAGGCCCCATCCCTCCACCGTCAACAAAATGGATTTGATATTACACATAAATAAATAAAAAACTGATTTGCATTAGAGATAAATAAACCATCCATAAAAATAGCCCTTCATGAACAAACTAGTATCAATGATGAGAACAAAGAATAAATAGGAGAACAGGTGAAAATAACAATGAAAATAGATTAGAATCAAACATCAAAGATAAGATAACCAACCATCGAAAAATATATAACTAAAAACAACTAGCATGATTACCACTAAAACAAAGTCAATGATGGAAGCAAATGACAAGTAGCAGCGATAGAAGGGAACAAAATAGCAGATCAACACCATCCAACCACTCAACGGAAACTATGCACTTAATCTATAGACACCAATTCAAGTAAATTTAATAACATGGTTGAAGAATCTCACCCCAAATAAAGCCAACGAATCCACAATTGCCTTGGATGGTTTTCCTTTTACTGCAATAAACAACAGATTTAGTTTCATTCATCAAAATACACTTCTAATAAAGTATAAGGCGTCATTTCTTTTAAAGACGAGAACTGAAGTAAAGAAATGGGTACATCAGTATGAATTGACAATGAAATTACTCACTAAATATGACTGGCAAGAAAATCAGGCAGATAAGGGAAGCCAAGCTCACCAAAAGTGAGCAGCCCAACGCATGTATCCAAAGACCTGGAAAGAGAGAGAGACCTTAGAAACATCCATGCTTTATATTGGACATAGAAAAAAGAGTCAATGTTTAAATTTATTTTCCTTTTGTTGCATTTTCTCAGCTGCCAGACAGCAACGACACTCGCACAATTTCACTAAGCAGCAAAAAAAATAAAGAAAAAATACCTAAACCAGAGAGTTCCAAACCGCGGTGGTGGTGGTGGTGGTGGTCATGGTCATGGT